TCTATGCTATTCAATATGGCAGCCAATAGCCACTTGCCACATGCGGTTATTGAGCATTCAAAACGTGGCTGGGGCAAACTGAGAGATGCAGAAATATAAAATACACACCAAACTTCAAAGACTTAGTGCAAAAAAAAGTAAAATAGTTCATTAATTACATGTTGAAATGATACTATTTTGAATATATTGGGTTAAATAAATATATTAAAATTACCTTCACCTGTTTTTTTTTTAATGCAGCTGCTAGAAAATTTAAAATTTGCGTTATGGTCTTGTGTTATATTCTACTGGACAGTGCTGGTCCCTGAGCTTCATAAGGATAGATCTGTAAACGGCCATTTCAGGCCCAGAGAGGGGAAGGACCCCGCCTGAGGTCACACAGCAAACTAGAACATGAGGCAAGTCGACTCCGAGACTCTCCCGGGCCTGGCAATGGCTACAGCTGAGGTCTGAATCATAAGTGGCCACGTGTGCTCATCAGTCCTGCACTTGAGCAGGGATAGGGTATTGGATGGGAGTTGGAGACCTCGGTACACTGAGAGATGACCTCTGTGGTCTCTCCTAGCTGTTACTCAGCATAACACACTTTCCTTCCAGAAGCCCTTCCTGAAGCCTTTTCCAGCTGGAAGGACTCAGGGAAAGCTGAGCAGACCCAGAACGCAGTGGCATCCCCAGCGTCTCATGGCTGAGATGAGGACACAGGTCCTGCTGGCCCCACTAAACCCACAACATCAAGGGAATCAGGGTGGAAAGTGGCCTCAGAGAAACCCCCTTAGCCAGGGCCCTCATTTTCATATGTGCCAAGTGGGGCCCAGAGAGGTTGAGTGCCCTGCCCAAGCTCACACAGAGAGTTAGGGGAGGGCTGGGACATACCCTGGAGTCTCAGTCTAGGGTACAGGCGCCAGGGAACCCTCTAGACCAGGGGGATGGTGGCATGGATTGGCACCCAGGCTGCCCCCAGGCCCTGCTGAGCCAGGCTCATACTTCTTTCTCTACCTCTGCATTCTCTATGTAAAATCCTTGATGGCTCCCCATTGCTTAAAATGCATTTATATTCCTCCCCCACCATGTCATCGCCTCCACACTCCCATTGCTTGCCATTTTGCAGCTGCTGTTCCTAGAAGGGACCTTGTATATTACCACCCCAGGGCCTTTGCATTTGCAGACCCTTCCACCTGGAACCCTTTCTCCACACTTTTGCAGGCAGGACTCCCATCATCCAGCTTTCAGACAGGCCTTGTCTGATCCCCCTCCTCTCTGTCCCATCACCTTTTGTACTGTCTTCCTAGCATTTATCATAAGTATCTTGTCCATACACAGGTCTTACACAGCAGAATGTAGGTTCTAGAAGAGCAGGGTCTTCCTTATCGGGCAGATCCACAGTTGGGTACCCTGCCTTCCCAGTAACTGGCATGTAGGAAGGGCCCAATGAATGTTTATTAATCAAATTTGATTGAAAGTGACATGGACAGATCACATCACTGAAGCCTAGTTCTAGCTGCACCCCAAATTTGCCATATGTCCTTGGACAAGTACTTTTTTCACCCTCTCTGAGCCCCGGTTTCCCCTTCTGAAAAATGGAGCTCCCACTGCTGCCAGGCTGGCTGGCAGGATGGGCTGGTTGAATTAGCATCAGTCGAGTTGATGGGTGTGAATGCTGCTTTGTAAACTGTTAAAGCGTGATTGCAAATGCGAGTAGCTGTTGTCATTAGACAAATGAGGCTTGAAGCCGCCTCTTCCCCTGCTGAGGAGGGGCCTGGGTCAGAGGTTCTCCGGGGCTTCCTGCCCTGAGTGTGTGTTGTGCAGAGGCCGGGCACTGCCCGCAGGCAGCGCCCAGTCTGAAGGGGTGGTGGAGACGAAATGCAGATCAGAAACAAACAAGCTGAGACACCAGCACCCGGCTGGCTGCGAGGGGCTGCCCATCTTTCAGGAAACAGATAACACGTGCAAACAGTCTGAGGGCGCTGAGGCCAATGTCAATTAAAGCGCTTGGTGGGGGGCACGGGGCGGGGGCAAATCCAAGCCATTAAGGTGGAGAGGGCAACCAGGTGGAGTGCATAGCTGGGACAAAGGCGCAGCCGAAGGCAGTTACCACAGAGACCAGTGAGGAGGGGCCTGGCCAGACTGCAAAACCCAGCCACCCTATGGGCTCCCAAACAGGGAGTCAGACAATGTGCAGCAAGAAGAAGATGAGAGAGAAGGGGGCTTTATTGTATTATTATCGCTATTTTCTTTTTTCATCAGTTAAAGGCCCTGGACTGCTATCTGTTTAATTATACAGGGTTGAGGGAGTCACTTCCATCTTTCAAACTCAGTTTTCTCTTCTGCGAAAAGGGGAGGTGGGAAGTTGACAGATGACTCCCTGAAATCTTTCGTGTCCGTGAAAGGCACAAGGGGGGATCAGTGTTGGGGTTAGAAGGGCCTGGGCTTGAATTTGAACTCTGACTTGCTGCGTGACCTTGATCAAACTGTCTGGTCTCTAATTTCATCACCTGAAAAGGTGAGCACCTACCTCCTGGCGTTGAAAGATGAAGGTAAACTCTGTGCAAGCAGAGCTTAGCCCCGTGCCTGGTGTGCTAATCACGTGCTCAATCGTGTCCAACTCTGGTACCAGGTTCTTAATAAATACCATTTATATCAAATGAATACCAAAATAAATACTTTATTTGGCATCAGAGAAGGAGGTACCACTGGGGTGGGAAGATGGGGCAAGGGTCCCAGGGGCTAGAAACAGCAGAAGTGTTGAATCCCCCTTAGCACATAGTTTTTATTGTTGTTCAGTCACTGTGTCCGACTCTTTGCGGCCCCACGGACTGCAGCACGCCAGGATTCCCTGTCCTTCACTATCTCCCGGAGTATGCTCAAATTCATGTCCACTGAGTTGGTGATGCTATCTAACCAGCACATAGTAGGTGCTCACAAAATACTTCTTGATTTGCGGAAGAGATAGGGCTTCCCAGGTGGCGCTAGTGGTAAAGAACTCACCTGCAGATGCAGGAGACTTAAGAGAGACGGGCTTCATCCCTGGGTCAGGAAGATCCCCTGGAGGAGGGGATGGCAAACTGTCCTATTATTCTTGCCTAGAGAATCCCATGGATAAAGGAGCCTGGAGGGCTACGCTCCATAGGGTCGCAAAGAGTCGGAAAGACTGAAGCCACTTAGCCCGCAGGCACCTGGATGCTGACCCTGGCGAGGAGAGCAGCTTGGAGCCTCTTGCCCAGGAGAGGGAGTCTTGCCCCAGAATGGGCCAAGCTCAGGCTCTCTCAAACCCTGGGTCCCCTGCAAAGGCTGAGAAGCAGGAACTAAAAATAAAAGCCAGCCACACCCCAGTGGATTTTGACCCTGGCCCAGGAGTCTGAAGCCTCCAGGGAGCAACCCCCCACCTCATTTCCTCTCCCTGCTCCCTTGGTCTCCTCCCCAGGCAGTCTCCGCCAGCCCTTCTGGCCTCCTTCCTCCTGGGGAACTTTCAGGATGAGGCCAATTTCAGTTGGACCCTGGAAGCCTCTGAAGATGACCCCACTTTTCCAAACCTTCAATGGGGTCTCCGAGTCTCTGGTGTCCTTTTCTTGGTATGAACTGTAGGGTGCATCTGAAGGGAGGGGATCGCGGGGACATTTTGATAGTGCGTGGGACAAAGGGTTTGGAGAGGTCTGGGTGACTTCAGTTGAATTGAAACCCTGCAGTCCTCCGCAGGGCCCTTACACCCACTCCACGGGGCAGGAAGCTCCTGGTGAAGTCTTGTTTGTCCGCAGTGTGGCTCCCAAAGGCCAGAGGCCCTGACTGGGTGATTCCTGCCGCGCCCTGCGGCTCACCGACCATCCGGCCTCAGCAAAGCCCTTAATGATGATGGTGATGAAGGCTGTCAGAGCAGGGATGGAACCAGGGGTTGTGTCCTCCCCGAAGGGACAAGCCACAGCACAAAACCACGGGGGGCACGCGCAGGTCCATCCCACGGAAGGTTGGGGTGGTCTGCCCAGATACCCGCCCTCTGTACCACCCCTGAACTGCCCTGGGAACGAGATGAACAGAGAGGGAGAAATTCAGTGTATACAGACAGAAGGGTCTCCAGGGAGGGGCTCGCGGGCTTGCTCAGAACCAGGCAGGAGGAGTAGGCCTGGGGTCTGCCTGCCAGCGCCCGGCCCACCGGTGCCAGAGTGACCCCCACACCCCACCCAACCCAGGGCCCAGCGTCAGCGCCAAGGCCCGCTCTCCCAGGCGGAGGCCCCAGCCCAGCCCCAGCGCCTGGGAAAGCCGCCTGTTTTGTTCCCATCTCCACACACACATTCCCCCCCCCCCCAACCTCTTTTTTTTTTTTTCTTCATTCATTGCAGTTCGGTCCCTTTCGGAGCTGCAGGGACCCGGGTGGCAGGGCTGAGGCGAAGGGGTGGCCCTCCCGGCCCTGACAGGTAGGGCCCGCCCCGCTTTAGGCAGCCCCTTCCCTCGCCCTCTCCCCCCACCCCTCCCCGGGTCCCCTCTCCCTGCCCCTGTCAGCCGCGCCAGACGCTCTCCGGCTTTGCAGCATTCAATAAAAATTCAGAAACATTTGGGCTGAAATCGCTGCTTTATCTGGAGGAGCCACAGCGCCGGGAGAGACCACTGCTGCGCGGGGGGAGCCCGGGGTCTCGGTGGCCGGGGCGCGGGGTGTCTCCGCGCTCCAGCGCGCGCGCGGCCCCCGGGTGGCCCCTGCGGACGCCAGGGGCTGGGGGTTCCGGGGGCGCGCGCGGGCTGGCGGGGCTGCCGGGGCGCGCGCGGGGCCCCGCGGCCCGGCTGGGCTCCCCCCGCGCTCGCGGCTCAGGTGGGCCGCGCCCAGCGCTGGCGGAGCCCGGGTCCCCGTTCTGCCCGGGCTGGATGGCTCATTCTGCTGGCTGCGCGGTGGCGGCGGCTGTGTGTGCGCCGCGCCTCGCCGCTCCCCCCCAGCCCCCCGAGCCCGGGGCGCGCGCTCCCGCCCGGGCCGCCCGGGCCCCGCGGCGCCGCGGCCCGAGGCCCCGGGAAGCGCAGCCATGGCCCTGCGGAGGCTGGGGGCCGCGCTGCTGCTGTTGCCGCTGCTCGCCGCCGTGGAAGGTGAGCGGGCGGGCGGGCGGCCGGGCGATGGGGGCGGGGAGCGGCCGGGCACGGGCGGCCGCCGGCGCCCACCCCCGCCCCGCGGCCCCGCAAAGTTTGCCCCGGGGCTCGCGCCCGGCGCAGGTGGCCGCGGGGAGGTGTGTCCGGCCGCGCCGGGAGGCGCGGGCCCCGCGGGCGCCCGGGAGCGGCGGGCGCTGATTGACTGTGCCAGGAGGAGGCGAAGGGACCATCTTGCCGAGGCTTTGTAGCCAGCCCGGCGAGCGCCGCCCAGGGCCGGGGGTCTGCCCACGCGCGCTCGCCGCCCCCGGCCCGGGCACCCCCCCGCGCGCCGGCCTGGCCTTGCTCGGCACCGGGTGGAGGGGCGCCGGCCGGGGGGTGGGGGTGGGGGCCCGGAGCGCAGTCGGGGCTGGAAAGTTTGGCAGGGAGCGGAGGGAGGCAGGCACCGCGACTGGTCCGGGGTGGGGGTCCCCAGTCCGCGCCCCCGGGATGGGGTCGGAGCCCCGAAGAGGGGGGGACTGGCAGAGTGGAAGTGAGCGCGCCAGCACCCCGCGCCGGTGCCTGCCCATCGCCCGCGGCGTACAATGGGGTCCCCTCCCCTGGAGGACTGCGGGGGGATGGGTCCGTGGGCATCTCTCGGCCGCGCGGGGTCTCCGGGCACCCCTGCCGGCCACCGCCCCGCTGGCGGCAGAGCTCAGCGTGGCTGCTGGAGCCCCGGGAACTCTCCAGCTGCCGCCGGGGCCGGACCAGATGCTCTTGCCATGTGTTGGCCTTGGCCAGGGTCGCTGGGCCCTCTCCCCCATGGCCTCGTGTGTCGGTCCCACCCGACCCCCAAGGAAACAGGGCGGCTGCCCAATCTCCCGAGCCAGCTTGCTCTGGAGGGAAAGTTAGTGGGGTCTGGGTGTGTCCCCCAGAAATGGCCGGGCTTGTGGGGCAAGAAATGAACATGAATAATGGTTCTCATGTGTACTGCACTTTACAGTTTTCAAACCGCTTTACAGTTTATGAAGTACTTTGCACTATATGCAAAGTACTGTGGTTTACAACGTGTGGCACAGTTGACAAGGTACTTGAAGCTTTACGAAGTGCTTTCCCACCCGCAATTTTGTTGGATTCCCCAAAATAAGCCTTCCAGGGAATCCAGATGGGTAAGAGTCTTAACTTCCTTTTACTAGAAAGGGAAACCAAGGCTCAGAAAAGCCAGTGCTTCCCACCTTGGTCCTTGGGTGATAAAAATGGAATGGGGGTCTGGAGTCTGGGAAGCTTGCGCTCTGTTCATTTTGCTGGGTCTTCTTGTCCCTAAACAGGCTAACCTCTCCAGGATTCTGCCACTTGAGGCCTGAGGGGTACCTTCATCTTGGGCCATTTGGGGGTGATGCAAAGTCCCCTTCCCTCTTGCAGCTCAAAAAACCCCATAAAACCAAACCCAAAAATAACCCAGTCGAACCAGGCATGGAGCCTGCAGACTCTGGGAAAGGACGGATGGGGGATCCCATGCGATAACTTTAGTTTCTCTCTCAGTAATGAGTGCTTTAGTGACCGCAGTTCAGGGGATGGAAGGGGTGTCCCTGGATGGCAGCCATAGGTTCTGGCACGGAAGCAGCTGTCCCCAGGCTCCTGGAGGGTTTGACGGCTGCCTGAGGTTTCCCGGAGTGGGGCTCCTGGGGCACCAGGGTGCCACGAGCCCTGGGTGTGCAGGGCAGCCCTGAGACCTGGCTGCTGGCGGGAGCTCCCTGGAATAGGGCTGAGGTACCACTTATTAGCTCTGGCTTTGGGGAAATGACTCATGCGTTGGCCCGCTATACGTTGGGATGTTTACAGTATTATGGGGAGCTTGGCATAAATATTGCTCTTTGGGTTGTAGTCAGCAGTGCTGGAGGGGAAGAAAATTGGCCCCTCTCGTGTTGGAAAAGGCCCTCGGTGTGTTTTTAATTACCGGGGCGGGGGGGCAGTAGATGGAAGGGCAACATCTGTCCAGGCCTGGCCCTGGCGGGGGGTGGTCAGAATCTGGGGAGCTCTGACCAGAGTGGACCCTGGGCCCGGGACACAGGGCTGATCGGCTGCTGACGTCCCAGAAGGACGTGGCGGCGTGGGCTGCCACTTGGGGGCAGACTGGGAGGCGGGCTGCAGTGGGCATCCCGAACCTTGCTTCAGTCTCTTCCTTTGCTCCCCGGATACTCTGGAGTCTAGTCCGTTAGGCCTTAAGAAGGAGCTGGCCTAACGGAGAGGGAGATGGTGTGAGGTGGAGGTCAGAGGCCTAGCTTCTCACTTACTTGGGGACCCCTGGACCAGCTCCCTGCCCTACAGGGAGCTCAGTTTCCCTGAGTCTAGAATGGTCGCCCGAGCCTCCTAGGATTCACGTGCACCCTCCTTGCCTTCCTTGAGCCTCAGTGTTCTCATCTGCCAAGTGAGGGTAATCACGCTGGTCCTGCCTGTCTCACAGGCAAGTCTGTGAGATTCAGACCAGATAATGGATGGGAAGAAGTCACCTTGAAGATCTGCGTGGCCTCTGGGGGATGGAAGATGGGCACTGCTGCTTGTGACACAACCCAGAAGAGATGGGAGTCTCCCGGGAGCAGGACAGTCTGTGGAAGGAGACCTGAAGCCCGGGGTGATGAGGGGGCAGCCCTCGGGGCTCCCAGTACCCAGAGAAGTGCAGCCGCCACTCCTGGCCCGTCCTCCTCCTCCTTCCCAGTAGTAACCATGCTGTCCTGAGCATTAAGGTCTAGGAAATTCCCAGCCTTTGAGACAGGAGAGAGGATGTGTGCAGTTTTTTGGGGTGAGGGGGCGGCTAGGTTGGGCCTCCCAGGTATCACTAGTGGTAAAGAACCCACCTGCCAATTCAGGAGATGTAAGAGACGCAAGTTTGATCCCTGGGTGGGGGAAGATCCCCTGGAGAAGGAAATACTCCAGTATTCTTGCCTGGAGAATCCCACGGACAGAGGAGCCTGGTGGGCTATGGTTCTTAGGGTCGCAAAGAGTCAAACACGACTGAAGTGACTTAGCACACAGCCTGGGGGCTGGATTAGGATGGCCAGCTTAGTATCTCCCCAGACCATGAGGCCCCTCCCAAAGGAAACCTATGTCTGGAGCATCTGGATGCTTTGAGAGGATGGTAGTGCCCCCAGGGTTGTGTCCAACAGGAGAAGAGGCCAATGGTGGACCAGCTGCTGGTGAAAGTCGCTCAGTCCCGACTCTGCGTGACCCCATAGACTATACAGTCCATGAAATTCTCTAGGCCAGAATACTGGAGTGGGTAATCTTTCCCTTCTCCAGGGGATCTTCCCAATCCAGGGATGGAACCCAGGTCTCCTGCATTGCAGGCAGATTCTTTACCAGCTGAGCCGCCAGGGAGGCCCGGACCAGAGAAAACCCATGTCCTCTGTACATTTGTTCTTTTCTTTCCTTAAGATTTTTTTAATATAGACCACTTATAAAGTCTTTATTGAATTGGTTACAGTATTGCTTCCACTGTACATTTTGGTTTTCTGGCCATAGGGACATGGATCTTAGCTCTTCTACCAGGGCTTGAACTGGCACCGCTTGCATTGGAAGGCAAAGCCTTAACCACTAAGACTGCCAGAGAAGTCCCTGTACATTCGTTCTTTCGCTTTCCACATATTTATGGGGCGTGTTTTCTCGCTGGTGTGGTTCTGGGCCCTGGGGTGGGCAGGGAGACGGGGGACAAACTGACAGGGAAGCCTTGGCAAGGTGCAATGTGATAAGTGTGCCCCGGGTCCTGCCAGGAGGAAGCCGTGCACCACCTGGGGAGCAGCAGCCATTTAGGATGGAAGCCAGTTGCTTTGTCATTTATAGCTTTATTCTTTGCCTCATTTTCTTACTTCCCGTTCTCCCTGCCACGAAACTTTCTCAGCCACCTGTCATGTTAATGAACTGTGTTCCCAAAAAGCAAAGGAGGTTGACTTTGGGACTTAGAGGAGGCAAAGTTTTGGCCTGGTAGAAGGAACAGCATGTGTAAAGACCCAGAGACATGATGATTGGTGTGTGATACTTGGGTGTATCTGAGGGAGATGGGTGTTAACGGCAGCAAAGAGGGATGGGGCTGAGGATGGACGGCAGGGCTCTGATGGAAAGCTTAGGAGTCTGGACTCGATGCTTAGGGCACTGGGGAGCCACTAAAGGTTCTTGAGCCACGGGGGACCTGGCCAGATTTGTTTTTGGAAAGATCACTGACTTCCAGTGTGTGGGAATGTTCAGATGGGCTAGAACCTGTCCTGCACAGTAAAGAAAAGGCCAGCTTGTCTGTTCTTTGCTAGGCTGTGAGCTCCCTGAGGGAGCTCAGTTTTGTGTCCACAGTGGTAATAAAGAGAAAGTGGAGTCGCTCAGTCATGTCCGACTCTTTGCAACCCCATGGACTGTAGCCCACCAGGCTCCTCCATCCATGGAATTTTCCAGGCAAGGATACTGGAGTGGGTTGCCATTTCCTTCTCCAGGGGATCTTCCCAACCCAGAGATCAAACCTGGGTCTTCCTGCATTGCAGGCAGATGCTTTACCCTCTGAGCCACCAGGGAAGCCCAGTAGTAAAAAGAGCTCTGTTCAAATGCTGCCTCCCGGAGGCCTTCCCTGATTACCTCATCTAACACAGACTCAGTTCAGACGCTTTCTGTCCCTCCCATTTCGTCGAACTTCAGAATACCCATTGCCACCTGAAATGGCATCGGAGCCTTGTTGCTTTCCTTGTTTAGTGTCCATCTTGCCCACTCGACTGTACATTCCAAGAGACGAGAGGGTTTTTCTGAATTTATTTTTTTAAATTAAAACATTTTATTATTTTCTGGCTACACTAGACGACGGCCTGCAGGATCTTCGTCACCCCCACTGGGGATCAAACCCATGGCACCCACAGTGGAAGCCTGAAGCCTTAACCACTGGTCTGCCAGGGAAGTCCCGAGGTTTTTATTTGTCCTGTTTGCTGCGGCAGCCCAGTGCCCTGAACCGAACCCAGTCACCCGGTGCCCGGTAACTGAAAGATATAATCAGC